GAGCCGGAAATCCCATCACTACTACCCTTCACTCAGAGGGTCAGTGGAGGTTGAAAACATTGGAGCATTTTCAGAGATAGTCTCTATTTTTTTCCAAAAACAAATCAAGCTAACTACTTACTAACTAATATTATCACCATTATCTGGGATCAGTCTGTCTAGATTCATTTTCTATGGTAACCCACCAAATATTAGGGCCTATGGTTGAGCTTCAGTGACAGTTACAGATAAGATACACTGCAACACAGGAACCATAAAATAATTAAATATGTTGTCAACAATTGATGACATATTTACATAATTAAATTAGATTTTTTTTTATGTATACATGTATTTCCAATTTTAATTAATTAATGAGACATTTAATCAAATATTTATTTATGTTTTTCTTTCAGCACTCCTGGCCTTCTATACAACCATATGTTGTGCACAACTTATATCAACCCATTCAGTTTTATTTCTACACTGTGCAAAAACAAAGAGAAAGGTAGACCTCGGAGAACAATACTACCTGCAGACAGGTTTTGGTGCAGGTCCTAGCCCTGATGGGTTGCAGTCAGGAAAGGAAGTGTGGCAGAGCAATGAGCGTAATGCAGGACTGCATACCCCACTGAGCCCTTCTACCTCTGCCCACCAGCTCTGAAGAAAGTACTCCTGCGTGTCCTCGGGGTTTGAGAAGGACGAGTTAAAGAAAACCAGCAAATCGTCGTGCAATATTGTGCGGCAAACATCTCCACGATATGCACTGCAGTAGCCTGCGATCCCCTTATAAAGTCTGTTTAAAGGAGACACACATACAAACATTTGGCAAATTAAAGGCAAAATCACAACAAAATAGTTCTAATGCTTTTTTTTTATTTCTATACAGCTCCACTGTAGGCGTGTTATCTAACACATCTCTACCATACTAATTCCTGGGGAGTAAATTTTTTTGGGGCGTTTTTTTTTTGCTTTTTTCAAATCTCCTACATATCTAAGATACCCCTTCTCTCCTAGCAGTATGTGATGAAAAGGTTTATAACACATGAGATCACTCCCAAATCACCATTTTTCAACATCTACCGTTATGGGGAGTGACGATAACCATGATCCTTTACTAATCATCGAATACCACATCATCAAACAGATTTAAGAGCCTAAACCTAACTAAGAACAGGGACTTGCGAAAGTAACTTTAGTGCCTAATTCATTAATATGTATTTGGGATGGCATGTTATTTCTAATAGAAAAGATGCCTTGTGTGATTCAGTCATGCAGCAAAAACTGGAGTTTGACCATATTCCATACCGTTTTCTAGTAATATTTCTTTGTGTAATTTAGGTATTTGTTATTTGCATATTTTAATTTAACAAAATCATTGAAAAGAAAACCAGTAAGAGTTGCATACTAAAAGTACAGAGAGTGGTCTGTTTTTACTGTCTTGGCTTATAGCAAGTGTCCACTAAAAAGTAAAAAGAAATCATCTTTCACTTGAAATATCTTCTTTAACATCATCCAGATGTTGATCATGAAACAGGTTGGAGAAAGTTTAAGTGAGATCGCATCCTGTCTGTTCAACTTCCTTGCTGGAGCTCAGTCATACCTATTTTGCATAAACATGAATGTTTGTGGGACAAAGTCCCTGTATTCCTCTTTCACCCTGTTTGCCTCCTTTTCTTAATGCTTTCTCATCTGTTAGTCCTCAAGCATTGCTATGATCCACATTTATCTCTGTCTGCTCCACACTGCTGTGTTTCTGACAGCATGTACTCTGATAACCTTCACTCCAGCATCACTGCTGCCTGTCTGCATTCTCTTACAGACTCCAGATGTTCCCTCTTGGGGAGGTTGGTGCTTCAGCAGAGTTCAAGCCAAACTATCAAACTCAAAGGTGCCCTGTAAATCTATCAATTCACTCTTTTCTTTCTTTCTTTTTTCTCTTTCTTCCTCACCAGATCTCTGTGCATCTAGTCCAGATGTGGTCACAAGTGATCAAGATAAATGCAGCCATTAAACCTGCCTTTCTGTGACCTACAGCCCTCTATCCTTAATGTACTTCATTTTTCATCAAGGACCCTGAGGCCAACATTTTATTTTCCTTATTTTATTTCTATTTTAGTCTCGTTCTTTCTGCTTCCTTCTATGTGCATCTTGTCTCCCTCTTTCTCTCCATCTTCACAGTTACATAGTCCAGATGTGGCAACAGCAGCTGTGTTAAGGTTCAGAACAGTTCAAATTCAACTCACACCATATGGGTGATTGAGAGACCCACTCTCTTCTTGGCATACGGGCATGTTCAGGAAAATGAATAGAAGCAGCAACACAGAGACCTTTATGGTGCTTACTTAAAAAAAAATAGTGGCAGGCAATGTACTGTGAAATTATTCTGATTCAACATGGGTCAAATGAGCTGAAACATTTTCTATAATCAATTCAAATGTAATATATACAAGAAGAAGTAACAAAAGAAACAAAGCTTAGACAACTTCACACAAATCTGGCACATATCTTTTCTCTTACCTCCACTCTACTGGGAAGTGGCAGTATCCAGAGTACACGGGATGAATAGGAGCAAGTAGAAGAAGAGGGAAAAAGATGAGAGACAGTGTGATGAGAAATGGTTGATAGATGAAAAATAGTCCTAGCAGGATGAGAAAAACAACCATGATGTTACTCTCTGCAAGTCATCACTAACTGTGGAGAGACTGAGGGGCAACCAGGTGGAAGGGCAGTGTGTTCTGTTGGGGAACAGGTGTGTGTGTGTGTGTGTGTGTGTGTGTGTGTGTGTGTGTGTGTGTGTGTGAAGGAGTGGCTTTGTTTGAGGAGTAGTAACCAAATGGGGTAGGCGACAAACAGCTGAAACCACACAAAGCACAACCAATATAACTGGCAGCTAGCATAACAGCAGGTAGTACTGACAGTAACAATAAACACCGAGATAGAAGCTAAATAGAAAGCAGACATTTTTTCTCTAATATAGCAGCAGGCTGCAGCAAATTTGAAACATGTAACACCATAGTATAAGCTAGAAATCAAAACTTGCCACCTGCAACAGTGACTTTTGCAGTTGCTTTGACAGTGTTGGCTCCAGCATTGTGTCTGTTGGAAGCCAGGCACGTATATAGGGCTGGCTTAGTCACCGTCACCTTAAGAACAGAGAGTATCACCTCTCCCACTAATGTCTCCTCTACTGAGGCTCCGGAGATCTGGAGGAAAATGAAATTGAGACAAAAAGATCAAAGTTGTAAAAATCAGTCATATACATGCAATGAGCAATTTGCATATAACAGTGCAGAGATGCATGAAGACTTTCTGTGAGAGCATCCTAAGCTTAAATGACAGAGCTGGAAAAAATAACTGCACTACCTGGAATGGCCACTTGAGGCTGAATTGAGTCCTCTGCTGAATTAAACATAAATATCAGGTTTTGCTTTGTCTGCCTAGCTTTCCTGTTCATAACTGCTGCATGGGAGGTGAATTTTAACAATAATTTATATAATACAGGGTGCTGCATGGCAGTTTATTTATATATAATATTACATATTTTATTAAACATTTATATAAAATATTGATAAATACTGAAACTTATATATCTTAAATTAGAATCTAGACTTTATATAAAACTGCTAATAATAAGAGCAATAACAGATTACTACAAGATGTTTTTCTTATTGACACTTTGGTCATTTGATATTTGATAGTGGTCTGAGTAAAACTGGTTAGTTAAAAAAAATAATTGTGTGTAAACTCCTCATACGCTGATCATTATAGCCTTTGTGTTAAGCTCATAAAATGAAATGCATTCAGTACGTGTCTGGCACCGACATAACCACTTGTATTATTTTAACAGATTTGAAATTCCCAAAGTGTTCACACATTGTAAATCTAGCCAGATAAAATGTATCTGTTGTTTTTAGATGATTCATGTATGTACTTATATATTTATAAATGATATGTGAGGACCTCTAAAGTGTGAGCATGTGAGTGTATGTGAGAGGTGCTATTAAGCGGCTATGTCTATATTTGAAACTGCGTCTGACACCGCCTGCTTTTAGGACAAGCTCCATCCATCCATCCACTGAAATTAATGACCATACCAAGCTGCCAGAAAAACAACTCTCACAGTCATTTTAATCAGCACATGCCCACACATAGTATTTACAGGCATTAAGAGCATGTAATCACTTTGTAGCTAGCACCCAAGACTATTAAATACCCAGACATTATGTGGTATATGTCGACCGCAACAGCATGTTTAAGAAATGTCTGCTGCCTGATGAAAAAAAGCCCTGTTTTAAAGGTGGTCACATACACATTCAAGTTTGCATTGTTCCAATTTGAATTTCATGCATTTTAAGGTTCCGATCCCTTAAAAACCTTAAAAAACAACCCCATCTTTCAATACCCCTCTCACACTAAAAAAAAACAAAACAATTAACACTAATAACAGAGTGTATTATAAGCTAAATGCAAGATCATCTCTTCAATCCTCTGTCACCATGATGATAATTCCTTTGCTGTGATCTCAAAGCCATCAAATGTCTGTCTGTGTGTGTGTGTGTGTGTGTGTGTGTGTGTGTGTGTGTGTGTGTGTGTGTGTGTGTGTGTGTGTGTGT